CCCAGCAGCTGCAGCGCCATTGGTAACGTAGAGCGCCTTTCCTTCGGTGCCGATGTTAGGGCGGCAAGCGCGTCGCCGTCCAGGAGCGCCGGCAGGGCGCTGAGAGCTTCTGCGTCTGTCCATTTAGCCATTTCTTGGTGGGCGAGGAAGCGTCTTCGGAAGCCGCTCCAGTCGCCCTCTGCGCCCACGAATTCTTTAAGCGGGGGCAGCCTTTGATGCAGCGCAGCAGTTGCCGTGGAGTCCCGTGGGCTGCTGTCTCCCCGACCCGGCTGCGTCTCGGCGCGAACGGCAGATGGCATCGCCTGTCGCAGCTTTGATGACGCGCCCTCCTCCGTCGTTGATGCGGCAGCCCCAGCGCGGCCGATGTCGGACCCCAGGTTGAGGTTGGCCACGCCCCTAGCGGTCGCCGCGTCGATGGCGGGAAATTCAAAATTTGAATCTTCAGAAATGGCGGGAAGGCGCTCCGGACGCCGGTTCCCCTCGCCCCGCGGTGGACCACCAGCCCCCAGCCGTGTGATGTTCTCCAGCGTAGCGGCAGCGGCGTAGAGCAGTTCCGCCAGCCTCTCGTGAGCCAGCCTCAGGTGGTCTGTCCGCTGCTCCTCTTCATGGCGACGCTCCGGCAAGAACGCGTCCGGCCCCGGCTGCACGTCGTCTTGTTGAGCCATCTCGGGCTCGACAATTTCGGCGGCGTCTTCCGTTTGCTGTTCCCTGGCTCGAGCTGTTTGGCGCGTGTCCATGTTCTTGGTTCTTCTGACGCCAGATGAAGTGTTCTTGAAGACGCGTGGACAACGGGGTAAGGCACACGTATTTATTTGCACAATGTCTTACAATACTGGAGGGATGTATCGGCCCCCTCACCCGTACAACTGGGAATTCACCCCTAGCTAGCCTTCCTAGCCGAGTCCTCCGCTAACGGGCTAGGGGAGGCTGTCTGGCCCGACACTGGTCAGTCGGGCTACGGTACCCGGAATCCCAGAGGTCTGACTCTGGTTCCGGGACCACGCCACTGGCTCCAGCCTGCACTGCCCTTACAAGGGCGGCGTCCCAGGGGGAGTCCAGGGCCTATCTGGCCGGTCTTCTCTCTTCCCTCAACTACTCTAAGACTGAGCCCCGAGCTCTCTGGCTCAACCCTTTTTATACCCCCCTAGAGGATCGAAACCCCCCTCACGCCGTCCAGTACGGACGTCGTTGCGGGCACCACCCCGTGTGCTCACGGAGTCCCCGCCCACTGTGTTTGTTATCCGTTAGCCCCTATGCAACCAGCCCTACACAAACAGCCCCTCTGTAACAGCCCTACACATGTAATGCGTTGAACTGTGCCATGAAATCAGAGTTAACTGACGCTTGCAACGGCGTTTACTTATACTGGTAGAAACCGCCAGGTTACACCAGCCCACAGGGGATTATTGTTTCCGTCCGCCCGTCGTGCAGGGAGTGGCTGGGTGGGGAGGGGTTGGGTGGGGAGGGGAGGATGGGGAGGGGCTGGGTGGGTGGGGCTAGGTGGGGAGGGGAGGGTGGGGAGGGGCTGGGTGGGGAGGGTAGGGAGGGGCTGGGTGGGGAGGGTGGGGCTGGATGGGGGGTGGTGGGTGGGAGGGATGGGGCTGGGTAGGGAGGGGCTGGTCACCCCGTGGTGCCCTTATTAAACTCAACGTTTAACCTACTCACGACGGCGTGTGCCCGCCCTCACAGTCGGGCGTATTTGCGGAATACACCACGCCGCCGTTGACCCTGGCCATTGACCGAGCAACCCAACGTTCCTTCCAGCTCCCTCCGCAGGAATGTGTTTGTGGCGAGCGACAATGAGTGCACAACCCGCACACGTATCTGTGAACCCATACGGTTTACCCCCGAATTCCTACAGTGTACAGGGAAATTGGTTATGAGTTTGATTCCCGGACAGGGCCAACGAAGCTAGTCTTAAGCGGGGAGTAAGAGAGTGACTGATGTCCTATCCCGTCTACTTCAACGCGCACCGGGCAGAGTGGTGGAGGTGTTTAAGGGTCACTTATAACTGTGTATACCATGCCTGTCAACCCATAGCGTTTACCCCGTATTCGTGTGCAGGCAAATTGAGATTTCAGGTCCATACGGCGTGCGGCCGTTTCAATTCGGGCAAAAAAATGTGTTTGTCTATTTGTTTGTGTTTCTCCCTTGTTGTGATGAGACTTTGTAGGATGAACGTTGAGCTTTATAAGGGGCACTGGGTGACCAATACGGTCTGAATTGGTCAGCAATAAGGTCGGGCGCTGATAAGGGATTGTTGACAGCTCCATAGAGTGGCCGATGCTGAGACGATCCAAGGGGTGGACGGGTGGAATGTGTTGCTCGTGGCAAGGACCTCGCTTTCGCTCGCTCACAGCACTTGCCCCAACACTCTGTTTCGGCTATAGAGAGGTGGGGGGGAGGAACTTTCTCTATGCTTTAGCGCCACCCTGCAGAACGCTGATTTCGTTGCAGTGTAGCGCTCTTTGTCCTGGAGAACATTTTTTTGCTTTGTGCGTTAACAACAAAAAATAATGAAATGCCCCCCCCAAAAATTTCGCAACGGCGGCCGAAGAAATGCACTTCGTCCCGCCATCTGTGTTTACATTGGCTCAGCCAATGATGAGCGACGAACGCTCTGAGCCAATGAAAATCCCACCTCACCCCCCTCCCCCCTGCGATTCGATTCGTGGTCACGATAATGAAAAAAATCGAACAAAAATCTATTTTTTTTTTATGTGACAACTCACCAGGCGAGGAGATAATCTCAGGATCCATCCAAAAGAAACCTCACCACATTTAGACTGAGGGCAACGCTAAGACCCGGACTGGGAGCACAGCAGGTCCAGCCTTGTAGGAGTAGTACTGTAGAATATCATTGGTGAGTACAGTACACGATACTAAATTGTATATATATTTTTTATTCACGAAATTATGTTTATTATCTGTATTATTATTATTATGGACGCTATTACCAAATACCCCAATGAAGCACCCGTATATTGCTTTAATTAATTACGCCGTCGGGAACGCATCCCCATATACACAATGGTATAACGACCCCTTTTAGCGCTGATTCGATGAGCGTTCACTTCTCCAGGAGTGCCTCTTGAGAGCGCTAAGCGAGGTCTGCCTGGTGTTCACACTTTCTACATGGGCTGTAAATGCAATTTTTTTTATATATGGCGCAGCATGGAAATGGGAGGAGAGTTGGTCATCGGCTGGGGGACGAATATTCTCAATAAAATAGAAGGGTAGAAAAACTAGAGTTGGATGTGGGATGATGGGTATCTTGAATTTATGACAGTTTGCTTGTATTAACGGTGTATCCTGCCGCATGTACAACATACTTGTTGAAAGCATCAAGATAATTATTTTTTACCAGATAATTTACCACCATTTAAAAATAGACGAGGCATCGTTGAGCTCCAGTGCCCAAACAAATGTGCGGGTGGCTGTGGGACTCAAACCAGTGAATTTTTTCACCTCCGATTAGCACGGCACGGTTGGCTACGTACGGTGCGAAAGAAGTTCAACATACAATATACATACAGAAAATACACTGACAACTCACACTGCATTGAAACAATACCGCTCTGCGTTGTTCACAATATCTCACCACGCGTGGGGAACTGGGTGATGCATATCGCAATGTGCAGCTGATGGCATGCGAATTCATTGTCGCAAGTGGTATAACATAAGCAGGGCAAATAAATACAAGAGGAAACAAAATCTAGTGGAGGAAAGGTCTGCTGTGGCCAGCTCAGCTCAAGGAATGTAGTCAACATCTGCAGTCAGTCCCCCATGGACCGCTGCCACTTCAGCTGTTTCTTGTATCTTAGATGAACTGTCGATTGTTATTCGTAGCAGTATATGCCAGATTTCTATTAAGAGAACTATTTTTGTTCAATGTTGTTTAGAGTGCGGTATCAGTCATGTACTGCTGTAATAATAATTGCAGCCTATCAATTCACTGCTGAATGATTTTCCAATGCTGTGTTGGTCGTGAGGGTTGTATGACCATACTTCACCATGATGGAAAGTGCAGGTTGGTGAAGGCTCAAAACTGGTTCTCCACTGATGTTTATGTGGACAACAACGATTGTCTGAACAACATCCCGCACGCTTGGCCGAGTTACAGAACTGATCCATGTGGGAATCGTGTAGAAGCTCTGCGCAACATTCATTTCAACATCGAAACGGCATGAAACAATTTGTGCGATTCAAGTAACGTGCCCAACAAAAACCTGATCAGTGAGCCCACAACCACACTGTCCTGCTTGCACTACACATAGCTTAACAGTGAGCCCACAACCACACCGCCCGGTGTGCACTACACAGAACTCATCGGTGAACCCACAACCACACTGCTCGACTTCCACTACGCACAGCTCATCAGTGAGCCCACAACCACACTCCATCGTCCATGAAAACAATGTGCATTGCTTAACCAGATCCACACAAACCACAGAAGATGCAGATACCTAGAGCGCAAGTGGGAAATTAAAGACTCCGCTGTGTGTGACTGCGGCTACGAACACCAAAATACGGATCACGGAATTTCGAATTGCCCCAAATGTAAGTGTGAAGACCGTGGCGTATGCGAATTTCACCAACTCTCACAGCAATTGAACTGAATCTCGAATAGTTGACTTTCACTGGTCATGCGAAATAAATAAATGGAATGGCTGGGAACTAAATTAATGTTCCCGGGTTCATAGTTCTGTGCTCTAACCACTGCACACCGTCTCTCACCCTCAGGAAGAAGGAGTAACGTCTTGGTCAAACAACCCCCATGCCCTACACGGCATGGCGAGGCCTTCTTCCACTGGTGGACTAGCAAATTACTCCAAATGTCTCTTATGTAGGAGGTGAAAACGTCTTCATCCGGCCCTGGTGCCAACAGACATAAACTTGCTTTCGGATTGCAGTGCGGCAAGTTGCTGCTAATAGGGAGTGACGACTGCTTACGGTGTGGGACAACTTACCTGCCTCGTCAATGCAATATGCTCACTTACCCGTGGAGATGTGTCGGCCTGTACCCAGGAAGAGGTAGCAGAGGACGGGAAAGAAGGAGCAGTAGAGGCCATATATGGGGGCAACGGATGTGAGCAGGGCGAAGGCCATGCCTAAATGACATTGAGAGGAGAGAGAGAAGAGAGAGGAGAGAGAGCACGACTTTGAGCCAGCGGGCCGTGCTGCTGCGAGCAGTGTCCATTACTTACCCATGGATGTGTGGCGCGAGGTGCCGGCCATCACGTAGATCAGCACTGGGAAGAACGACGTGTACAAGCCATATATTGGAGGCAGGGCGGCCAAAAAGGCATAGGCCATTCCTGAGAGTTCAGGGGTGATAATACACGAAGAGGGTAATCCCTTTGCACATGTTTAAACGTTCGTAAGTTTGAACAACAATAATAATTCAGTTTAACGTTATTCTGTGCACGAAATGTGAGCAATGCATGCGTTTGCAGATGTCTACAGGTGACTCAGATTTTAATAAACTGCATGGTGGTGTCACAAAGTTAAGTTGATGCACAACATTTTGTGAAGTTATATAAAATGAAAAATAAGATCTAAAAATAAGCAAGCATTGACAAGACTTGTATTAAACTACGTTGTGCCTTTACAGTTTACTTACACGCAAAAATGCATTTCCAACAAACATGTTGAGTGGTAAACATTAAAAATGAATTGCTTGAATCACGCACAATACACAACTGCAGTTTACACAAATAGTATTGGTTAGATTTAGAACACACTTCAAACACCGCTCCTAAATCAGCATCGGTCTAAAACACTCAGCCCAAAACACTCCCCGCCATCGCTTTCACTTCAGTCAAAACAATGCCAAAGCACACACGGAAACTTAAGCCATTTGTACCATCCACGTGTTTGTGCAGTTGATTGTGACTCGGCTCGTCTGTTTTCATTGACTCGCTCGCCCTTGCATTTGGGCTCAACCGCTTTTGGAAAAGGCCGCTCACAGCGGGCTCCCGAGTATGGGGTGCGTCCACGGAGGAGACGGGGACAAAAAAAAAATCCGCAACCTTGGTCCGCTGCTTGTATTGGTTTAGCGTGGCCATTAGCCCCCTCGGTTGCTTAGCAGAGGGCAGCGAGCGGCAAAAAAGATATATTTATAAATGTGCATCTCAAATTCGTGGAACATTCTGTCTTTATTCCAACAATGAACATCGATGTGGTCAGATGAAAGATCGCTTGCGTTGTCATGCGTGAACACAGTTTAAGTGTCCGAAGAGTCCATTTAGAGTTTGTCACCTGTAATGTTAATGTTGAAAAATTTAACCCCAAGGAATTTTAACAATTTTCAGGAAATATCCTCGTCTTTTGGGATGATTTTCCTTTTTAAACAAATATCACGACCAGACCTAGAAGAGTTACCTTATGTGTTACCACGTTCAATTAATTAACTTTGAAGATAACTCAGCGAAATAACTTTCAGCTATATGCGAGAGGCGAATCACACTCTTATCAATTTATGATTGCAATACTCAACATTGTAATTATCGCCTCGGTATTGCATAATAAAGCGTTAAAAGGAGATGAGAGGTTGGTTCATTATGAGCACTGAGTCTGGGTTCAAATCGAGGCTGCTCAGAATAATGAAAGCAGGTACTCAAGTGCTAGTTGAGTTCAAGGCGTCCATCTGGTTACCAAATCATCATCATCATCATTGTCACCAGCCATGGTCAACTGACTGCTGGGTGAAGGCCTCCCCAATATGCCACCACCTCTCACCATCCAGTGATTTAAAAATCCATCTGGCATCTGCATGCAAATTGATTTTATGCCATTTCCTCGGTAGACGTCCTCTCCGACGCGTTCCATTCTTTGGCTGCCACTCCATTATCACTCTTGACCATCGGTCATCGTCCCTTCTAGCGGCGTGTCCTACCCAAGCCCACTGACTTTTCTCAACAGTTGTAATTGTGCCATTCACCTGCATAAATGTTATGTGATCCACGTGTTTCTCTCGCTGAATCTCAGTGCAATTCCAAGCATGCATCTCGCTAAATGTTTCTTTGCATACTTTTCAATATTCTACCGCGTATCATGTATTTTGAACCACATGTCATATCATCGAATAAAACACATATTTTGGAAACATTGCTTTTCATTATTACTTGAGTTCAGATTTCCAAAAGCACCCCACCAGCTCTCGTTCACCTCTTTCTGAACTCATCTTGATCCCGGTGTGCCTTCAACAGCAGTCCTAAGTACACACTGTTGTGATTTCTGACAAATATCTCCAATTGTTTAGCAAACTTGTTGTACGTCAACTTGCTTTTACTCACTAATTGTGAACTCAACTTTGCAATCTTTATAAATTTGTAAACAGATGTATTGCACATTTTGGAAACATTATGTCAGAAAACCTGAGATGGTTAATGCGTTCTCTATGAATGTATACCTTTTTGTTTTTCCAATACAATTTTGGAAAATGTATAACTTTGTTCAAAGTCTGTCACCTTGTCCAACTCCCCAGATAACATTGGTGCCGTTTTTCAGTAACCTTTGTGTGATTGTTCTCTTTCCGTATATGGATTTTATTCGTAAACTTCGTTTTTTCAGGCCTTGTTGTCTAAGAGCTTGGATGACTTCCTGGTGCAGTGTGCACACTTTGAACGTAAAGGTTGGTGGCCTGCCATGAGATAGGGTTTGGTGTGGATTGGCGGTTGGCGGATCAGCAGTAGTTGCAGCAGGAGTGTCAAGATTATCATCATTATCGTAATCATCTTCATCTATCATCAATATATTTTCCTTATCTTCAGCATCGTAATCATCATCTTGATGATGATTATCATCTCAGCGGAGGAAACTTTGACGCGCACATTAACGCGTGTATGTTTGTGTGCAAGAAAGACGCAGCCTGATTGGTCGGCTCATTCCGTCGGTGGGGCGAGTGTAATGACATCATCACGTGGGCTGATTCCCGTCGGCACTTTCGGGCAACTGATTGGGGACGGATGCATTGGCAATGGGGCATCACCAATTCCACACTGCAAATCGGGCAAATGACTGCTGACACGGCAGCCCACAGCAATGCAGCCCACAAACTATCCTAAAAGCCATGAACATCTATACAAGAGACGTGTATTTATACATTGTCGATTCAGCAGGCACAAGCTGTTGAAAATCGACAACATTTAAATGTGGCTTATTTATACGTTTGATTTATTAACATGTTTAATACCTGTTTATTTTATGCGTCATCGATTATCAAACATTAATTATTTTAGATTGCAAACGATCATACGATGTATTTAACATTCTTTAAAATCTTGCCAATATCTAACTTGTGATTTCTAGGTTATTTGAGCATGTGCAACAAGCGTTATATTAAGTTATTGGTAGAGGTTGCGCAAGTTGTAAATAATGAAGGATGTGGATAGTCCTCGGCTTACGAACGAGTTGCGTTTCTGAGACCCGTTTGTAAGTCGATTTGTTCGTATCTCGGAAGTCAAAATTTTATTGTACAGTACATACAGTGTTATAAAAATGTGTTATAGTTCAACAAAAAAGTGAAGTATTGTTAAACTCATTATTAAAAAAGAATTATACATTTACATGTAATACTCTAATAAATACTGTATAGGAAATAAAGCATAAAATAAAGTAACATAAAAATAAAATGTTATTTTCACTTACCTTGAGTCCTTATGCTGGCTTCCTTATTAGAAAGGACATCATGAGTTCCAGCGGGATAATGGGACTCATTGCTGGGACAAATCTCGTGTAGGATAGTTCCACGGTTCGGTTCGTAAGTACGAGCGAATGTTCATAAGTCGGATGGTTAAAAATAATAACATCTTATGGCGGTTCGTTGGTAAGTGCGGATGTTCGTATCTCGGGGACTGTCTTATATTGAATACGCCCTTGAAATATTTTGTCGAAAATTAGACGTATAAAGAATCAAACATAGCAATACACATCATGCCATAGGTGGAATCGCGTTTAGCGGAATTTCTGGCAAACTCAAGAATTATTTGAAAGTGGGAAAACATACTCTACATTATTCAGGCCGAATTTTATTTTAAAAAAATAACCTACATACTGGATGTAAGACTTGTAACTGAAAACTGCAGCATTTAAATACGGTACGATGAAATTAACATTGGAGAATATATGCGTATTGTTTGTAAGACCTATACAGCTGCCATGGTGTACAGACCAACCAGAATGCAGAATCTAAACTGACTGGGAATGTTGTTTGCAGGTAATGACTTAAGCACGAACCATTATGCTGTCTTCTGTCAGGACAAGAACCATTTGTAGTAATAACATACCAGTTAAACCCATTAATGCTGTTGATGGGAATATCCTGCTGTCCCAATCCCACAATAACTCCCTGCACGAGTGGGTGAATGTACGCCACTCTTACGTTCCAACGACAAAGTCAAAGATTCCACGTATAGCCTTAACAGACTTGGAGCAAGTGCTGTTAGTGAGCACCTATGAAGGCTGGCACAGAACACAAGAGGGTGGGTGGCCAGAACCACGCTCTGCCACCTTTGTCTTCCTCGTGGCGATGTTTGCACACCACACCAGGTACTCGTTTGAGGCTGAGTCGACCTAGGAGAGGCCCAGAACCGGTTCAGATAATCGTTACTGGTGTTGGCCGTGAGCGGGAATCGAACTCGGGCCGTCGGGTTACTAGTGCAGCGTGCTAAACCTCTTCCCTACCCCTCCCCACTCTACCATCTACTGAACGGATATCTGTGAAAAAGAGCTAAAAGGCTTATCGGATTCTTCCAGCATAAATATTCAGATTCTACCACTCTTACGCTAAACTCCCTGCCCCACAGCCTCCCATTGCTCTCCAACTCACACTCCCACTCCTGTTGCTATTTTTTAAATCCTTTATATTAAGTTCACTTGCGTGCTTGCTTGCTTGCTTACGACCGTGCAAATCTTTCGGTCGTTTTTTAACCCACTTCCCGTGATCCAATCGAGCTGACATTTTTCACACAGACTCGTTGTGCGAGACAATTAAAATTTCAAAAAATGTTACACTGTTTAGGGAAAACAAATTAAATATTTTATTACCAATTGCTTAATACTGGCAGACAATCATCTGACCCATAGGTGGCAGCCATCTCAAGCCAGAGGACGAGAGGACTCTAGCCGCCACGCATATAAAGGATTTATAGTGAAAAACTTTGTTTTTACGGGTTATACTTATTTTAAATAATCATCATCAGCAGCAGCAGATCCATCTCATCTGCTCCTCTTTATTCCTTCCTATTCCTTCCTCCCTGCAGCAGACTTAACCACTCCCAGCATCGCCACTTCGATTCACTGCAAATCAACAACGTTGATAAATATACCGCTATTCTATATGAATTTAGACAAGACACGCTTGACACTGTTGGGAAGTTGAGTTTAACACGTAGGCTTTCGCGACCAATGTTATTCATAATCAACGTTTTTGGGTTTAGATCGCGTTTATTTATAAATGTGTCGTAACCCTCCACCACCCGACACGGCCAATCAGTAAAACACACCGGTGGGCTAAAGCAGTGAACTCTTTGTCTTTGTCAACGTGACACATTTTTACTGATTGGCCGTGTCGGGTGGTGGAGGGTTACGACACATTTATAAATAAACGCGATCTAAACCCAAAAACGTTGATTATGAAGTTGAGTTTGTTGCACCGAAGACTTCGCATTAGACATTTTAAATATGTCAATAGAAAATAACCCACGCAGGAATGCAGCTTCTAATATACAGACGCACACGTAAACAACGAATTAAACAAGCTTGAAGAATTGATTATTTTTGTTAAACATTCAACATGTGCACTCATGTAAACACAAGTGCGCACTTGTGATAGAGCTGGACAAACGCAGAGTTATGTACATGAATAAACTTGGTATGAAAATAGCTGCATCTATCATGCAAAGAAAATTGCTGCACCACGAACATTGGAAATGTTCAGCTGTTCACATCGATGGAGAAACAACGATGGCGTACCTTTTTTTCTTAAATATTATACTTTGTTCCTGTATTTTTACACACGAGTGTCTCCATGTGCTCTGTCGGATTAAGAAAAGATAACGGTGAGCCTTACCCTGCGGTATGTGAACAATACCGACAGTGAGGCCGGAGATGATGTCCCCCAGGAGCCACTGCTTGACTTTGTACTTGGGCAGCCAGTCGAGTATGGGCATCCTCCTGCACAGGAGTCCCAGGGCGCCTCTCCAGGAGCAGGCGAACAAGCCGGCTAGGCGGCCCAGCAGCTGCGCACCGCTGCTGTCCCGGCCTCCACCGAAGCTCTTTTTGAGGACATGTTCGCGGTAGATTGGCCTCTCCACGTGGATCATCGTGGAGGCTGCGTACGCCGGGAGTGCGGGGACTGGGGTCTTTTGGGGAAGAGTCTGGCTCGTGGCGTGAGAGTCCATTCGCTCCATCCTGGCCCTTCGTGTCAAGGCACCTGCGTTATTTATCCGCTGTCTTTTTTTGTTGTGCGTGTGTGTAACTACCGTCGTTAAATTATTTATTTCACTTCTAAAGAGCGCCCCTCGATGTTTCTCAACGGCCGCTCGCCTTGCCCCTCGTGTGGGTGTCCAAGCGACTGCCAAGGGTCTCCAGTGATCGATCTGGCTCGTGTCGACAACATCGGCCGTGGTTAAGTGCATCGCACAATGCACATTCGTGACAACCAAGAGAGCATGCCTTGAAATTTGAGAACGTAAAAGACACAGGCCGCCATTAGCAGACGTTACTTGCAAGCAAGTAAACATCCTTTTGAGAGCAACAGCAACATACTTCAAGCTAGATTAAGCACGCGAGGCTTAACGTAATTTGCGTTAGCAACCATTAAGTTTAGATGCATTATTTGACTGCAGACTATGCTAGAACCCTTTTAGAGTAAACATTTTTTGGGAGAAATGTCATTGACTACTTCAGTAGCATTGCTTGTGATTAAGTTCATTTCAATGTCATTTAATTAAAACATGTAATGTTGCTATGTAACCTTTAACATGTGTGTCATGCTACTGAAGTTTTAATAGATGGCATATTTAATGCAAAGCTCAGTTAAAATATTATTGGTTCAATATATTTATAGCGAAATCTTAAATCACGAACCCTTTATGCTGTCAATAAAGTTTGCACCGAGATATCACATCTTCTTTAACGTCGTTTCGCAACTACGTCGTCACTTTATTATTAATACCGATATCCGATTTGCGTTGCCTCAAGCACCACAATTTACGTCGCTGGCAGCATCGTCCGCCCTTTCTCGTTATCCGTCGCCTCTCAGCCTTCGCCTCGACCACCCACTACGACTACCCTGCAAGTCGCTTCGATTTGCGTCGTTTCGATATTCGTCGTCGCACCTTTCAGGAACGCATCCCCGGCGTGAAGTGGGGGTTTAATTTAGAGGTGAATACAGAGGTTGTGTTTCGACAACAGTGCACAACGGCACATTGTTTAAAATGAAGCACGGACCTTTAGCGCCACCGATAGAGGTAGGCACACTTCGGCAAATCTCTGCAGAAATTATAAGGAAGCTGCTGATATCAAACGATAAACCGCCAAGAAAGATGGCTCAGTGCTAAGGATATAAATCAATTAGTTTTATACAGCAGTCCAGACTTAAAACATGTACGGTGGTGTTACGCTAAATACCGGTTGAAAGCATTGCACATTTTATAGTCAAAGATAAACAGCATGCAATTTATTATAGCAACTATAAAAAATGACTCACCCAAATCCTCAGTTCCTGGAGATATATTATGCGGAGAACATTTACTCCGGCGGAATAGCGTAGCATGAGATCCTCCCTGCCAAAAGATCACTGGCTTTTAAGGCCAGATTTTAGTGTCGTGATACATTTAGAATGTCGTCTTAATGTATGGACGATAAGGTCCCTCTTTGTTCTGAAATGCACTGTCAGAGTGCAGTAAGAAGTTCAAATCAAAACATCCCCCAAAAAACGGTGCACTTAAAGCAGTGCTCGCACAAGGATGATCCATCCGGAGGAATGTGATGTTTGCTGCTGAAAGTCAAGGTCCTTGTATTTACAGATCACCACTGCCTTCAAAGCTTTCTAACTGTGCACGACAATTCATCTACATTTCAATACGTCACAAAATGGACGCTATTTGTGATAATATTTCGTATGATAAATATCTGCTTTTTTTATTAATAGTCAATAACCAAAAGTACAAAAAAATGTTTTGTCAGTGGCTGCAATAAATGGGAGACGTCACAGGGATTGTCATCGCGCTGCGTAAATGCAACTTAATCTTGGCCACTTACACTACTTATCCACAATATGAAGGATAATTCGATTTTAATGTTGCCAAACTCATTTTCTTCGTCCGTAATTATGCATTGTTCTCAGCCGTTATTGGCTATGTCACGCAATACCCTTAAGATTGTAAGTGATGTGGCCCGGAATTTTCCTCGACTGGAACAACCAACACTAATCAAGTGTCAAAGAAACACCATGGACATCTGAAGCAGCGGAAGCAGCAACCTCAATCAACAACAGCAATTAACAGTTCCGCTGACAACATACTGAACACTACAACACAGGACACCAGCTAGGGCAATGAACAGACTCTGACATCAATATTATTATCAGCACCATAACCAATAGCAAAGCACCTTCCCCCCATCCCCTACACCCCCCCACCTCCCCTTACATAAAATCGCGTCCCCCACTGAACATTCAAACTGTCTTTGCAGTCGTTCCTCGGTTAACGCTTTCAATGCGTTCCACGAAAACGACTGTTAACAGAAATAATTATTAATCGAATTCACTTACAAGTTGAAAAATAAGTCGAACAATTGCCGAGTCTGCAAAGAGTGCTGTTTTCCACTGCCCAAATAAACACATTAAACGTAATGTTTAACAAAGCCCAGTCGAGGTGTAAACGCTCACAAATGGGCGTCGCTAATTGGCTGAGGGCATCGCTCAGCCCGACTTACGTGAGCTCGTATTGACCGCAGTTTGGCGCCCGCGTACACAACGCAACCAGATCGTTAATTGTCAAAAAAATGTGAACGTCAGTCGAAACCATGGGGCTCCCATGGGAGGTGCAAACGTTAACCGAAAAACCGTTAGCCGATGTCACTGTTAACCGAGGGACTGCTGTCCTGCCATATACACGGCACTTTATAATTGCACGTGACGCTGTTCACGTGCATTGCGGCTCTTGAAGTAATTCGCTTTTTTTTACGGAAAAAAATATTTCTTCTTGTTATTTTGGTTGCCGAACCTTGGTTTGGTGCATTCTCTCACCTCCCTGCATCTGTGCATTATATACCGTGCGCAACAGAGCTATTTTTATCCACTTCAGCACATTTTGCACAAATGAGAGATTGGCATGCAAGTCCTGTTCTTGTACTTCATCCTATTTTATCTAGATTTATATAGCGTCTCAGCCCAAGGCGCTTTACAATAATTATACAATTTTGCATTACACGATAGCGGTTGAAATATGCGAGTGGGGTTATTCAAAGTGGCGATGTAGTTATGGTGACAGTTAGGAAGACAAATGGAAGCTGTTAAGGAGGGGATGATGGGGCAGGCCTGGTCATATTGGGAGGACAGAAAGCAGCCGTAGGAAAGGCAGGGCAGAAGAGATGGGGGCTGTTTTAAGGGTTGGGATGGAAGCAGGTGATATTGAAGACGATTGTTTTATGTGCGGTGAGAGTTTGTTCCAGTGAAGGGAAGCAATCAGGGGAAAGGAACGAGAGCGAGACTGGGTCTGGGTGCAGGGCGAGGGAGGCACAGTGAGGGACAGCAGAGACTGGGAACGTCGCGGGAGGGATGGGGCAGAGTCGTAAGATTGAGATATGGTGGGGTAAGCCCATGGGGGGGTGGGATTTGTAGACCAGAGTGAGACATTTCAACAGACGGCGATAATAGTGGATAGGGAGCTGGTGGAGTTGTGAAAGTGGAGCAGAAGCGTGGGAATTGTGGTGGAGGTGAACAATGATCAGAGGCCGAGGGATTTTGTATCTGTTGGAGAGTAGTGAAGGCGTAGGCAGGAAGGCCAATAAGAAAATAATTGCAATAGTCAAGGTGAGTAAAAACAAGGGAGGGAACCAGGAGTTTAGCATCAGATCGTGAGATGAGGGGAAGGATTTTGCGAATATTGAAAAGATGAAAGCGGGAAGTGTTGGTATATATGCCTGTTGAACTTAGTTTGCACCATGCATATAGCCAACCGTGCTAATCGGAGGTGCCGGTAGTGGCAGAGATGTGGTTGGATAGGGAGGAGTTGAAGATGACCCCAAGGTTGCGAGCAGAGGAGACAGGAACGGGTGAGAAGGGAGGGAATGAGATGGTAGGACAGGGTGGATGGGAGCAGGGAGAGGGGAAGACAAACTGGGTGTCGCCGGCGAAAAAGTGATGGGGAAAGTTAAATGAAGAAATTTCAGCTTCCAGAGGTGAGATATAGAGAGAGAATGGCGAGGGCCCTCGGACAGACCCTTGGGGGACAACAACAGTGGGAGGAGGGAGTTGGAGTGGTTGAAAGAAACGGAGGAAGTACGTGAAGAGAGACAAGACTGGAGCCAGGAGAGGGGTGTGCTCGAGATACGGAGACTGGAGGTGGTGGAAAAGAGTGCGGGGTGATCGACTGTGTCCAAGGCCGAGGAAAGATCCAAGAGTATGAGGATTGAGGAGAAGCCACAATAGGCAGAGTTTGTTCAATGGTTCCGTACAGTGAGGAGGGCATTTTCGGTAGAACGGGAGTTGCAGAATCCAGATTGGAAATGAGGGTAAAGAGAATTGGATGAGATGACGTGAGTAAGGCCGGAGTGGACAAGACATTGAAGAAGTGTAGGAAAGTAAAGGAGGAGACCAGTATAATTGGCAGAACTGGAAGTGTCGAGAGGGTTTTGTTTTTAAAGGGGGATTTGATAGCTGCCTTAAAGATGGCAGGAGACACACCAGAGGTGAGGGAAGAATTGAAGAGAGAGAGACGAGGGGTTGTGAAGGATCAGAGGGAGGAGATGAGGTAAAGTGAGACGCAGGGATGGGGTCCAAGGTAGAGGAAGCAGGGTGGGCTTTGGATATGTAGGAGCGCAATCAATAAAGAGAGAGCCGTTTCCACGTGGAAGTGAGTGGGATAACTGGGGGGGGGGTGGGGGGGGGGGGGCGTTGGACTAGGGGACGAGGCTGGCAGGAGAATTGAGCGAATTGCCTCAATTTTAGGAGTGGAGTAGTGGGTCAATTCAAGGACTGTGGAGGTAGGGGGTATGAAGGCAGGGCTGAGAGGGGCGGATGGAGTGGGTGGTTAAGGGTCGAGGAGAGTTGGCGGCGATGAGGGGGACACGGGAAGAAAATGGAGTTAAGAAGCAGTCCTGCATGGCTACTTCTAAGGTGGCTAGAAAGTCGGTGGGAAGGGAGTGTATGTTGAACTTCTTTTTCACCGTACTTAGCCAACCGTGATAATCTGAGGTGCAGAAACAACAAACGACTTCCACAGTCTTCTCTGCCCAACCCCCCTCTCTTTCTATTTAAAGCCTCGACACAGAGGCATTCGGTCTCTGTGTGTCTATGTTGTGTGTCTTTCTCTGTGTGTCTGTGTTGTCTCTCTCTCTCTGCTTGTGTGTCTGTCTGTGTGTCTCCGTGTCTGTGTTTTGTCTCTCTCTAAAATTTAGTTCTAGCTGAGGACGGTTGCTTGTGTTGCAATAGAAACGTTGTACTCTATTATTTAATTTTATTTTACGTGACTTTACCAAAAGAACGAGAGTAATCCTGCAGTCACGAAAGCTTCAAATCAAGTTTGACTTTCACAGCCGTTCAGCTTTTCGGAAACAATTACGGTCAGATACGAGGGAGGGAGTTAACCGTGGTTTGGGGAGCTCAGGTGATGGGGAGCGGAGGCATAGAGTGGCTAGGGAGTTGAGGGAAGAGGATAATGCTCGCTATTTTTATTTGACCAAATAAGGCCCACTGAGCTACATAGCTCTTTTTAAGAACGACCTGGCCACAAATGATAGCTCAACGAAGTGGCTTATCATATATATCGCAAGCGAATAATCCAGACGCATGTTTCTAAATGTGGAGGGGAAAAAAGTGGAGGACCCGGGAGAAAAATCCACGGGGAGAGAGATATGCGCACTCCAAATATACAACAGGCGTCGGTGTCGGGATCGAACCCACGTCCTTCTGTACACCAGCGTCGGTGGAGGGATTCAGTAAAGGAGGGAAGAGATGGGGGGAGGGGGGGGGTCAGGGAGCCATTGTCCAGGGAGCGAACGTTGCGGCAGAGGTAAGGGAGGGTAGAGAGAGGGGAGTGGAAGGATCAAGGGGAGGTATTAAGGACATTGTGCGAGTGAAAGGAGAAAGTGTTCTGAGAGGGGCCGGAACCATGGGCGGAGTTTGAACGTCTTTGTTAATTTATTTTCAGTAATTTACGAATAAGATAAAAAAAAATTATATGCACCCGCGATTCCTAATGTGAGGGGACAAAGCGAACCTTTGCCCTCCCACTCCCCACAAAACATATAGAAGTTATACTCCACCTATGGGGGGGAACTCGTGGCACTGTGACAGTTCAGGATAATGACAGTCACATACGAGCGCGTAAATACGTGCAATTGCAAATCGAGGTCAAAGTTTGAGTACGTGCATTTTAAATCGACAGTTCCGTACAGCCAATGCTCAATGCCACCTGTTTGCAACGTGTCTTTGGAATCGTCAAGCGTCGTCGTGGGCTGCTTTTGTATTTTCGGCGATGCTCTGCACGCTCGAGGTTAACCGGCTTCCCTCGCGTGAGCGATTCGGCAAGATCAACATGATGACCATCGTGCCCTGGATTGAAATCTGTGCAACGTGACAGGCCAACATCACGGCATCGCTCCCTTGATGAAGTTGCCGTTCAATAGACAAAAAAAGGCGCAGCACTGAAATGTCTCGCTCTCGGCCACTGCTGGTGGAAGGTCGTCGACGGGAGAGGGACCTCGAGAGAGCCGCCCTCCAGAAGGGTAGTTTGGCCTACTCTTTCGCCCTGGCCAGATGTATCGTAAAAGGTGGGAGGAGCCACACTTTACCCTCACCACACACCACCGGTCCATTGACGAACTGTGGCATATGAAGTTCATTTATTTATTTCAAGTTCATCTATTAGGTGTAGCCCTGTGAGCCATGCGGCTCTTCAGTCGGGTGCAACCGCAACAAACAAAATATGAACACAAAACATTTTAAAGCGACGACGCGTAACAGAAACATCCTGGAATGAACCAGCAAATATATTTTTTTAAACGTATTAAAACGCTGTGTGCAAAAATCCCAAATGTGGTGCAAGTCACGGGGGGGGGGGGGGTTGGGAGGGAATTTAAGAAAGCTACCCATTTGTTTTTTGCAAGTCCAGCATACTAACCATTATACCACAACGGCATCCAAGGGGTGTACATTGATACTCGTTCAAACATTCAAAACTGGAATGTATGCAGCGTCCTCTTAAGATGCATGTAAAAAAATGTAGGCTGTAGATGTGGCAACTTAACTGCAATTGCCATTTTTTTGACAGCTCTTAGAAACTGCATGAGGTGTATTACTTCACTATTTTGGAGTTCCGGTGGGGGGGGGGGGCAACCCACGAAAAAAACTCACTAAATAATTAAGGCTTCCAAGGAGAGCTGTGAGTTTTGAATGGCTGCACGATTTATGTTTTGAGTTCGCCGCATCTGACTGTGAGCGCCTGGAGGTGATGTAACAAAGCCGGACAACAAAGAGAACAGAAGATGCCCGCTGAAAAACCTGATTGGTGCTCCGTGGCCGCTACAGGAATGTGAACAGCAAGCAAAGTGTCACGCACAATCATGGCTTTTGCCGGAAAGCTGAGAAATCCCTGTGCATGATCCATTAAGCCGACCTCCAAATCCATAGAGCACACTCACACGCACAACCACATATGTCAAACATGGCGCGTTTAAAGTTCCGTGCGGTCTTCGCCTTTGCAACAACAAACAACAATTGCTTTGCGGGTTTTTTTGTTGTGTGATTCAACTACATTACGAAAAAAGTTATTCTGGTATACGTGTTATTGTGATCATGTCACTGGTGCATGCAACAAGCATGTGCTCATTTCTAAACTTTGTTTATGATTTAAAGTAGGCCTCCGTTTGTTGTTAAAATGTATTAATAATTACAATAAAAACATATGATGCTGTATTTTATTGATGCAATTGCTTGTGGTGTGTGTTCAGATAAACAACAACATTCTATGTTAAACGACTACTTGCACCAACAGAGTTCGCGTCTCCAGACTTGCTGCATGCAAAGTGAAATTGGTGAAGTTGCCAGAAGGTGGCATGAGTGCAATGAAAATGTTTCTCCTTATCATGTTTCAATCATTATATTCGAATTGTTTGAACCGAATTACAGCGTCGTTGAGCTAAACGAGCTAATCTCTACTTATAGACCGTACAATTAAATGTCTTCTATGAAGCAACGCTAAGCGTGATACATTACATTTGCAGTGCACCTCTTATACTGCACTCGTGGTGACATCAACCACATTGCCCGTCATGACTTCTTAAACTATAAACTATAAAAATTTCGATTTAAAGCTTTCGTGACTGCAGGGATTCATCTTCTTGGTTCTTTCGGTAAAGTCACTATTTATGAACACAGTTTCTATTTTACTAGGTAAGGCCCACTTAGCTCTATAGCTCTTTTTTTCATAAGAGACATGGCCTCAAATGATGGCTCAACGAAGTGACTTGTGTGGAAAATGTATAGCAGCCAAATACTCTAAACGCGTGTTGATTCCAAATGTAGAGGGGAAACCCCGGAGGAAAATACGCGACCACGGGGAAAAAGACAAACAAAAACTAGGAAACTATTTGTATTTTACCAGGTAAGGCCCACTGAGCTATATCGTTATTTTTCAGAAATGTCCTGGCCACAAATGAAAGCTCAACGAAGTGGCTTATCACGTAGACATTTATAGTAGCCTGGACAAAAAATCCACGCAACCACGGGGAGAGAGACATGCAAACTCCAAATTATACAGGCGTCAGGGTTAGGATCGAACCAACGATCTCCAATATACCAGGCGAGGTAGTTAACATCTTTCCACCGTGAAGCCCACTTCCTGATCTTGTGTGAAATGCCTACAGTACTGCACACACATGATTCACTGCACGCTTAACCATTTTTCATGAAGATTAACCAAGATGTTGCATTCAAAACAACGTTCATACGCTTTATAAACCGGTATCCACAATTTAAAACCCCTCAATAAACGCATTGTTTTAAGGGCAGACGTCAAATTAAGCATATAAATTCACGATTTAATGTGTGATGTATGATCCATAAATTCGGAGCAAACTGGCAAAAGTCCCTGTATGCCGAATGGATTGGTAGACATGAAATTGCACAGTGACCGGGATATATGGAATAACTTACACTTGAATGTACAGGTTCAATAAGTGCAATGCTTGCTTTGATATTAGCATGCTCTTTTCAAATGGACATGCACTTCAAAGACTTTCCACTTCTCACGAGCTGTCACATTGCTACATACGACATGTGAACTGAAAAATAAAAACACAGATTAATTTCACAAATAGGAACATGCAGTACTTTACTAGGCATCGGGGAAGGTGCGTTTTATCCTGGTAATCCACGAAAAAGCCTCAAATCTGGACAAAAAGCTTTGCATCTCGCCAGATAATAACTAACAATCAGCAAGCACGGAAAATACTACAAAGAAGAGTGTGTGTGCTTTAACGCATAACTTTTTCGCATGATGTAAATGCTCAGTTTTTGACAGTGTGTGTGGGATGTTGCTCAGGCATGGCAGATTGTAGTATGGAGCTTTACATTTTTTTCCGTTAAGAAATTTGTTTTTTTATGAAAAGTTATTGTTTAAAATTGGAAAATAATTTCTTAGACAATCTACCCTCTTGTGAAATTATTTTCCAATTTTAAACAATAACTTTTAATAAAAAAACAAATTTCTTAACGGAAAAAAATTTAAAGTTGTGCCTGTGGAAGGATACATTGGATGATTTTAAATGACTTGCGAGTTGTGTTCAAGGTTAGAACAATTCGGCTGCAGGATGGCATTAACCCTGCTCAGTTTATTGTTTGAAGCGCGCTGCTATCGTAAACGTCTTTCAATATACGGCACTGCTGGATGAAGGTCTCTCCATGGTGACACGGCTGCCCTTGATTCTGTACAGCTGCAATTCATCTCTCTCCATAGCCTTCCTGCTTGTCCTTCTTGGCATGATCACATCGTTGGTTGCCATTCCATCACGAAGTTTGTTAATCTGTTTACATTTTTCCGTTAAGTATATTGTTTTTTTTATGAAAAGTTATTGTTCAAAATGGGAAAAGTATTTGTTAGACAAGCTCCAGGGCTGTCCTCGTATTTTTACTATTACTCAGGTCACTGTTTATTAAAGTCATGGCTGGCAGTAAAAAACTGTTGGAATACATTATTCTTCTACAAAAGTACACGTAGCTTTCCATGAAAAATATAGTTGTGTCTATTAAAATCACTCCGTCTTGCTTGCGATCCACATTGTTTCAGCAATGCCATCACCACCCCTCTACAACAGTGGCCATACTTGTGCATGTTTTTCTGCAGTGTAACCCACAACACCAATGCCTCTAAAACGACGTTGAATATCATATAAAGACATGCAGACTTGAACGTAATGTTGTTTAATTGCCATAAACTATGGCAGCTTTATATATTGTTCCCCCATTTTAGAGTACAAAAGTGAAATCTAAACGATGATATCACAATGAGCCTACGGGCTGTTGAGTTCAGCTAAACATTTTTCTTATTATACACTTTTATTTTACCAGGTGAGGTCCACTGAGCGAAACAGCTCTTTTTCAGAAGCGACCTGTCGGCTATCACAAACGAGAGCTCAACGAAGTGGCTTATCGCTTGGATATTTATCGCAGCCAAATAATCTAAACGGCATGTTTCTAAGTGGAAACAAGTTCGATAACCTTGCATCAACTTAAACTACGGATTTATTCGTAAATGTTACTTAACTAGAAAAGCCTCGACGGGTCTCTCAACTCGCCTTTCAGGAGGAATTATTCTTGGCATATTTGGCCGTGTTTAGAAAACGCGCCGCAGAATTCAGGAGCAAATATCAATAACCCTGCTTTTCATATTTATCAACTACCTATTTGCTGTTACCGTTTAACACCTCGTTTGTAAGTTGCGCAATATTCCTTAAGGACCCCGGCTGCACTCGTTCTCTGCAATGTCGATGTTTTTGTTTTGATGTGCTCACACCACGGATCTGCCCTCGCAAATAATCGGGCAAACTGTCTTAACGGGACCATCCGTGTGGCAACTCGAATAAACTCCACACAAATTAAAATAATGCCACCTGTTGGTCATTTTATATTCATTCAGGCTTGAACGCTGCACACGTCCAGGGCTCATTTTGAAAACACGTGCGGCGCTTAACCCGCCATCACCACACGGACAAAAAAAATGTAAAAAATACAATTTTACTAAAAAAAATGCGTTTCTACAACAGGCGTATGGAGACGAGAGACATTGGCTAGGAAAGCGTCATAGAAGCGCACACGTGGGTTAAGTAAAACATTGAGTGATTTCATTCGTGCTACAAAGCATCACACAATGTCTTCTTTGGGTATCACCGTACACTGCTCCAGTATTATTATGTCTTCAAAATATGCAAGTAAAAGTCTACAAATACAGGCAAGTCTTAATAATTTAAATCAATAGCAATGCTAGCTCAATAAAATTACTTTTTTATGCAAATATTTTACGTTTATTTGCAATTATTGAAACATGAGTTGTTGTTTTTTTACCAAGACAATTAAACCTTTTAGGGAACTATTCATATTTTGGCATCCCCCCCCCCAACACGACTCATGTCAGAGCAAAATGTCTCTCTTGCTATTCTGATCATGGCGTGTTGCACAATTTGCATGTACATACATTTTCTAAACTGCATATCTTTAAATGGTAATGCGATGCCATTATATGTTAATAATGGCGATTCCATTATATATTAATAATGGCACTGTAATATGCGTTTATAACACAGATAAGTGTACAGTCATAAGTGTGCCAAAAATGCAATTACAGTAATTACATCGAACACACGAGCAGAATAAGAATCTTTATATTCATACTGGAGGAATCCGATGAGCTTTCAAGCTCTTTTTCACAGACGTCGAGTAGAAAGCAGGTGGGCGCAAGAGCTCCATCACACAGCGAGTGAGAACTGGTCTTGCTCAATGGGCTTCTTCACCCAGGCTCCTAGGCTCGCCTTGTGGAAGGCCCGGTTGAGCTGACGCTTGGCTTCTTGGTAGCCCTCAGCTGCCAGCTTTGCTTCGCTGTAAACATTCATTCTCTTCCCCTTGAGGTCAATGCGAGTATTTAGCTGATAAAACAAAATAAACGAGAGAACAAAAAACATGGAAACAGGACAGTCAGTGATGGTAGCGTGTGAAACGATTTCAGCTTTTTTTTTTTTAAATACAGATGGCTAAGTGGCTCAGGGGGATTTACAATTCTTGTACGAGAACCACATTATATATTTGGTTTATTACGCAAGTTATATATGCAGGAAAGTCCCGCGGCATCTTACAACTCTTTCATATATTCCTGAAAGAGCATTTTGCATATTAGTGGAAATCCAAAACGTGAAGTAAATCCGTGCATACATAGGCAGGGCAGGAACATTCCTTAATATTGCCTTAATATTACCTACTTGCTAATGACTACTTAAGCGCCTTGCAGATTTGGAATCTCCCATTCAATAAACTCTGCAACATCCACCAAGCATTTAAGAACAAGGTTTACCCTTTCTGGCAATAAAACAGGTGTTAAGGTGTTAAAATACCAAACTGAAACCTTGTGCAAGGAATCATGTCTGAATTAACCACAAAACTTGTGGTGAACATGCAAACATGGTCTGATAGTTAATATGCATATCCGATCAGCGCATATTTTTTTGTTTGAATGTTCACCACAAGTATATGTGGTCAATGCAGACATGATTCCTTGCAAAAGGTTTCAGTTTGGTGTTTTAACATCTTAACACAACAGCTTTATTGCCAGAAAGGGTGAGACCTATTCCCATCTTTTTGGTTCTTTCGGTAAAGTCACGTAGAAGGAAAATAATAAAATAATTAAAATGAAACATAATAAAATAAAAATTTTATTTTATTATTTTCCTTCTACGTGACTTTACCGAAAGAACCAAGAAGAAGAATCCCTGCAGTCACGAAAGCTTTAAATCGAAACCTATTCTCATATTTTGATTTACTGACAAGGGAGGTACCATGATCCACCAAGCACCGGGTTGCAGGCGTGCAACACCGCGCATGCTCAGTGACTCTGCAACACCGAGATCTCAGTTTCAGTTTCATTTATTAGGTATAGCCCTGTGAGCCATTCGGCTATTAAATCGGGTGCAACCGCAACAAACAAAAGACAAAAACATGAACAAGAAAACATCTTAAAGTGACTGAGTGCAAACAGAAAATCCAGGAAAAAACAACAAAATATTCCAGAAAAAGCACCGTACACCAACGCTGTGTGAAAAAATCCCAGTGGGATGCAAGTCAAACAACAACAACCAAGGTTCGAATACTCAAAGATGACACGTTGCTGATGTCAGCTCAGTCGCGGATACATTCACAGACAACCCGTAGACACACGTATGTGTCACTCTTGGCTTTGCCCGGCTGTAAAGTCTGTTCTGCGCACTTGAAAGCAGCTTGGAAGTTGAGCGCCCTCTGGCGACTGGATTACAGAGAGGCATCTGGCTGGTCATCGAAACAATGACGGTCACTGCATCGCGCGCTCAAAGATGCGCTTCTGCGGTCGTCTGGAACTTTGCGTCTACGTTGTGCGAGTGTGTGAAATTGTGTATGTGTGCATCTGAGTTTAGGGCATGTGCAGCACAGTCACTCCATGAAACATGTAAATCCCATCCCTGATAGCTTCTGCTTATTTCAGGATCCAGCTGGCATGGGTCTGGCTGGAATGTTTTCGTGGTATTTCCCTGCCGACTCCACCGTGGTATCCAAGGCAGGACGGATGACGCCACACATCCCCAGCAGTCGTAAGCTTGGCCATTCGTGAGCAAATCTTGCTCACGATAAGCCTCGAATCCGCTTCTAATTCCTCTTTTTCCATTGGAGAACTGAGTCGAGCCAGCCGTGCCGCTGGCTTGGCACACGAGTCCCTGCCTTGCTGGCCCCAAACCAGATTCAAATGTCTTTTCAGGAGGCCAGTGTCCGTCCATGCTATTCCGGCACAGCACGGCAAATAGCCAGTGGGTAAAAAAAAAGACTCGTGTAGTGTCGGCCCCGTGCTGGCTCGGCTTAGATGTACGAGTGGAAAGGGCTACAAGTGCATGTGAATCACGCCTCAGGAGTAGTTCTACGGTGTCAACCTCTGGGGTTGCTCTCTCGTGAAAAAATAATATTATTTTGTCAGGAGGTTGGGTGGTGAAGGGGGGGGGGGGGCTGAAATGCTAAAATGGATGCCTTTGGTATATCACCTGGCTACCATCATCGCACATTTTCCATATAGACAGAAATAAAATGGCGAAACACATTTCGGGGAAAATGATGGTTTAAACTGTAAATGTATACTGAGCAATAATAAAAGATAACGGCACAGATTTAGTATTCGACACATGTAGACTTACACCCCGTTGCTTTTCAAATGTATGAACCGTAAAATACAATAATGGCCTCTGTACGTAACGCTGAATGTAATTTTAACTTTGTAAGAAACATAGCAATATATTAAAAGAGTCTTCTGTTATCAAATGTTGCACTAACACCTTCATATTTCATATTTACCAATGTTTCATCATAAAGACCTTACTACCATTTAACGTTAAAATGTAAAAAAAAAATGCAGATACAAAAAAGGATTTTGCATTTAAGCATATAGGACCATCAACAGAATTATATTTCTTCGCAATAATATAGTTCTTAGCGATTTGAGAATGCAACGGAGAGGTAGCTATACAGCACACCACAAAAACCTACACAGAAATTAATGGGGAACTGAATAAGCTAAATCTGAAAATCAATTTCAGTTAGTTTTTAACTGATTTAATTTACATGGCAAATTAAATGGTTCATAAACAATGGTGATATGAAGAAATCACCCACCATATTTCTATCACTATCACTGTCCCAACAGAGATGACCATTCATAAATGTTGATCACCTTCAGGTAAATTAGCTAACACCGCAGCCCTTAAGTACCAGGTGAGCTTCATTCTCAGGCCCCTTAACTATATCCTTTAATTCTAGATTTGAGGTCTTCGTGACTGCAAGGATCCATACTCTTTGGTTCATTCGGTGAAGTCACGTAGGTGGCTCCTCCCACCCTCTTGTCTTATATAATATCTTGTTACGAGTAGCTCTTGTCCACTCCAGCAAATTATTTCTTGCTGCGGCTGTCCTAGCTGACGACGGAGGCTTGTGTTGCTTCCGAAACGTCGTGATTTAATTGAGTTATTTTCATTTTTATTCTATTTTTATTATTATTATTTTTTATTTTCACCTACGTGACTTTACCGAAATAATCAAATAGTATATATACTTTAATGTTTAATCAGAAATATGGGTAAAACATAAACTCACACTTGCTTTGAGATGTTTGTGTTTTTCAGATTCATTTATTCACAACTCCTTGTGTGGGAGAGGTTCGTGGGATGGTGAAAATGCAGTCCTTGCACCAGGTCGGGTGCCATTGGCCATTGATGTTGAATTGAACTCAAGTCACCATAGTAGTTCACTAAACACTACATCACCCTCCACCTCATTCACACCCAAATGTGTTTCAAATAAATGTTTATAGTGAAATATGTGTCCTTTTCATTACAAATTTGGTCTACTTAACGAGATCATGATCTCATTTTAATTGCTCTGACTGCGTAAAAACATAATGTGCAAAAGAATAACGTTCAGAAATGAATTGTTTAGAATTTAGCATAACGCAGCCATGTCAAATGGCTCAATATCGAGGGAAAGTATGAATACGAGTTCAGTAAATAATGTTATCTCAAAAAGCAAGCAAGCTGCAAGCAACGATATAACACCTGATATTATTGTAATTTAAAAGTCAATTAAAATTGTATCGGTGCAAATTAGGTCAACTTGAAGTCGACTTTAGGGCAGTCAATATTGCAAGTCAAAATGATATTGATTTCACTGAATCAATAATGAATGGGGTCAATCACACGTTTCAACGGTGACAGACATAGTGTCCCGAGTGTTGAGGTCACAGACATGTGTTCACCTTTCTGTTGACTCGTAGCCAGCGTGAAAACAAGGCATGCTTGGAGAGACGCGATGCACGGCCCAGGTCATTCTTCCCCGTGGTGGCATTGATCACCTCCAGACTGCCATCGCCGTGGCTCCAGTTTGCACTGAAACTTGGGGCCTTCCCAGCCAGACGGGACTCGGCGTTGCTAATGCCTACACACGGGAAAAGCACAAAATACATTGACAACAGCGTTTTCGTTTTATATACATTTTGCGGTGTTTGATTAAAACCTTTGTTATTTTAATGGCGGCGTATTTCAGCGTCAAAAACAAGCAGTACAGTTGAAAACGCTGAGAGCGAAAATGAAGCAAACAAACCCAAAAAGAACACACCGCCACGGAACGTGTCGCGTGCAAGCAGTCGTGTTATCGGATTAGCATATGTCCAAAATCTAAACATTAAAGATGATTTAACAACGCAAAAAAATGTGCCATATTGCATGCACACCGTACCCCGACCATTGTGTAATTTCAGTTGAGGAAATGTGGCCATCCCATCATTGCTACATTTTTTCAACTATTCCGAGTTGGCGAACATAACCGCAGCAGATGCATAAACAGTGCCTAAAGTCACAGTACAGTGCTCATTTTTAAGAGATAAAATCAGCACAACGAGAAGCCAACTTGAAAAACACAAGAATAAAAGCAATCAAAGTCATTAGATTGCATTGTACTTTGAAAATAACATTAAACATTAAGCCATTGTGGAAGCCTCCACTCATCTGTAATCAGTTTAGTTTTCATTTAACAAAAGCCTCCAAGACAAAGGACAGTGAAAGTGTCAACATATTAATAACGGCGTCGAGATGGAGTATCTGAAGTGCACCACTGAGCATGGGCCGGTTGAGCTTGTATGGTGAAGGAAGGTCCCAAATGTCGGAGATCCTCTGGTAGGCAGCGCGCGACAGATGCTCGCCGTGGTAAAGGCTGCCCAGGATAATGCTGTTTAGGTAGATGGGCTTCATCAGGTGGCTCAGCAGGGAGCCTTGTATGCCCAGCACATTCCACCTGACGCACACACGAATACACAAAAGAGTTAAACACAAAAAAATTGATTATCACTCCTAATGCATTTTTTTCCATAGGCACGTCGTTAATTGCATGCCGTATTCCAGGCTGCTTCTGAGCCATTCTTTGTGCGGCTGCATCCCCACGGTTTTAAAAGCAGGCCCAAGGCGTTCTTCTTTACACGGCTGCTGCAACAATGCCGGGTTAGCGCTCTAGCATTCGAGTACTCCCAGCATTAACCCAGATACCAGTGCTGATGTCACATGCCACCGTGGCAATGGTGAATTTGTGCTGTGAATATATCCAGCTCTGCATTCAATTTGAGGTCTTGTGCAGTCCACGTGAAGGTAAAATGTGCAGTCCTACAATTGCTCACTCGTTCCACTGCTGGCGGACGAGAGCGCTAAAGTGGATTTTGTCTCCTCCGTCACGCTGACCAGACACCTCGGACGAGGTGGGTGTACCCACACTTTACCCCACCATGCAGGACTAACTGCGGTATACCCACGTATAACGCTGGGTGGACAGACGCAAGGGAAGTTAAGAAAATTGGCCAATTGTTTCAACTGCCGAACCTGGAGATAGAATCTATACAGAGTGCATTGGGATTGCAAGTCAATTGTACCCAACCATTGTACCATGGAAACCTCTAAGCTACCTGGCCAGATTGCATAACATTTGTGCGTTGACGGACAGGCAATTTCCACCTATATCGGTCGGGAACATTGCCTTATTTTTGCTATTCAATGCCAATTTGGCAATTTTCCACCACATCTGCAGAAAAGCAGTTCAAAGCTAAATTTGAATCGGACTCAAAAATGTGAACAAATTTTCAGTACTGTATAAAAAAGGGGTTCATGCACAGTGCCACCTGCGTCATCACCACGATCAGTAGTTTTCCATCCACTGTTGGATGAAGGCTTCCCCTGTTATCACCATTCCTCACAGTCAGACATCATAGTCAGTGTGTTGTGCATTGCAATGCAATATACTGAACGAGTTTTTCTCAACCTTTACGATTTGGCGACCCCTATTAGAATCCGAAAAATATTCGAAACTTACGAATGAATAAATAAACAAAAGGCCGTGTGCACATGCAGTGCGCAGTACTGTGTATGTATATCTGTATGTATGTTGTAGACATTTTTACTAAGAAAAAGATCCCCCGTGTAGCCTTAATAGACTGTTGGGACAAGTGCTGTTTGGGAGCACCTATGAAGGCAGGCACGACGCACGAGGAGGTGGGTGGCCAGCACCACGGCCGGCCGCCTTTGTCTCCCTCATTTTAGGAGAGGCCCAGTACCAGTTCAGATAATCGTTACTAGTGGTGGCCTTGAACGGAAATTGAACCCAGGTCGCCGGGTTCATAGCACAGTGTGCTAACCACTCCACTTCCACTCTCGACAGTACATAGATATATACCAATAATAAAATATAGAGATATTCAGCACCGCATCCACATACATGCACACATGTGCAAACATGCCAATGCACATGTATGCACGCACACATTTCAGTTCACATATATGCACATATGCAAATGCACATGCACATATAAACGTCTAATATTGATCGAGTCACATTGATATCCACGCTCGGACAATACAATTCACTGAAAATTATGCACTGTGACCTCATTTTTACTTTTCAACGGTATACGTGTTGTATCGGAGTCTGATCCATCCGATTGCCTAGTGGAGAGTAGATGGCAGCACGAAGTTAGATACCAGGGTCTTCCTGCTAATGACAGGTTTTACCACGTGATAGGAACAAGTAAAACATGTATCCCATTATTTGCAAATGATGGTTGATGGCATGAACAAATGCAACCCGTCATTAATTCGGTCCTTAATGGCCGCAGTTGACACAGAGGGTGAACTGGGATGGAGCACATCACCCAAAATAATGTTGGCCATCAGACGACACGAATGGTAGCCACATTAGGGGACAGACCAGAGATGATGGAAACATCCATCGGAGGTGGAGCAATGAGATTGGTTCACGTACAGGAGTAGGATGGATTACGGCATCACAGGATCGTCAGGAATGATGATGGCATGAGAAGGCCTTCATCAATAGGTGGATAGATCGTGCCTGATGATGACGATGATAAAAGAACATTAATGTTGCACGCGTTGAAGAGCTTCCATGACAACCATTTATCGAAATACAAGAAGACGGTGTACATTTGCGTTCACACACCTCGAGTTCATTGACTCGAGCTTGTCAATGTGCAGTGCTTGCTAATGTTCTTTTTCAAAGATCAAAGTGTGGAATATTGATGTGCGTTTAAAAGCACAAACCCTCGCTATCTTGTCTGTACTCTTCGGCAAGGAAATGGTTTGATGTTGAATGAATGTCCTACCGATGTAATTATGCAAAAATAAAGTTGGGTTGTTGAAGGATAATGGATGATAGAAAAAAAGCCCGACGACATAAAATGCAACAGATGAGTGTAAACAGTATAAATGGATCATGTTATTTCATGTATTTCTGTGATGTGAATTTAAGATGTAACATATGTCGATGTGGCATGAAATATAAAAGTTCCATGTTAAAGAGTTTAGTACTTGTGTTATGCGAACTCTTTTCGCTGTCATTTTTTCACATTTATTTTACATTTATCTTCTAAAATAAACAAAATAAGCTTTTCAAGTCCGCCAGATTGTCTCTGTAACCTTGAAAATCCAGTGAACCTCAGCCTCAGCCTTTCATGGTGACGGTCAGTGACTCGGATGAAACTACACAAGGGTGATTTTTGTCTTATTCAATCCTAAATGTGAAATCGTAAACAATTAGCTAATTGTGACTGTACTATGTTTTAATGAATAATTTTACCATGTGATTATGCATAAATGTAATCAACATTTAGTTTTTTTCTTCAAGTATGCTGAACATCACCCATGAGTGGAAAGTTGCTCCCCCCCCTACCCCCAATGACCATGCCCAGTCTGAGCAGATCTTTACCCTCCCCTCCAGACAGGGAGCTCGAGAAGCAGCAGGATGGAAACAGCTGGCCTCCTGGTCACCTCTGACCCCCAAAATGCCCAATGAAATCTTCGGTGCAAGCTGATGCCACCACACATCCTGCTTAAACCGCGGGAGATTCGGCCATATCTCCCGATTGCTTCTCCAATAAAGGGACCCATTCACCAGGCAGCTATATCACAATTGGTAACTACGGTAAAGCCAACTGTAAGGCGGATTTGCGTCCTTTAGAAAAAAAAATGCAACAAATATGTTGTCAACATGGGAAGCGGAGTCTAAAAGAGTCAGTAAAATACAATTGTCTCCATGCCCAAAAAAGCATGAGGATGGTATTGATATCAGAATAAGTTTTCCCCCTTTAATCTGATAGATATCAATACTCCCCATGAAGTATTGATATCCATCAGTAGCCCTATAATTTATAGGTGGAAATGACACGTTCCTATGGCAGGCACCAGTCTTTCTATAGTATAAGACAAAGTGGACATTCATTTTATCAACCCAAGTGGTACGATGGGCAAATCCGACCAATCCCTCACTCGGATTTGAACTCACGACTCGCTGAACGTGAATCAGGCACCGCCTCACTTGACTGGTTTGCACGCGTACAGCACTCGTATGCTGCCTACATACACAGGGCACGCGGGCACTCAGGGTCACGCAACAGCGTCGGTGAATGCATCACGGGGTGCGTGGTCACAGAATGCACGAGTGAACACCTGGACACGTACAGCCCAACACGTGCGCATGCTGGATGTGTTTCAGTGTGGCCCAAGTTGTCGGGTATAACTGCTTGAATGATTACCTGGGCTCCGATGTGATTTCCTGATGTCCCGAGAATTTTTTTTTTAGTGATCCAGCGATAATCCCCACGGCCATGTCTGCTTGCTGGATTTTCATTTTTTGAGTTGCCAGAAATAAGGACGCGTGCGTGCGTGTTCCAATTCGTACAAATAGGCAATCAAACCCAGCGGCTGGACTGCTGCCGAAGCCGTGCAGCTTTTCACGCAGCAGCATCCTGGCAGCGGCTTTTGGCTAACCATCGAACAAAAACGGTCACCGCTTCGCGCACTTTCAGATGCGCTTACGGGGCCCATCTGGAACGCTCCTCCTTCTGATATTAGGAAGCCGCTGGAGCTGTGTACTTTTGAATCTAGATTGAAAACGAATTTCTTTAGAACTCATTGGCACGGTTGGCTATGTACAGTGCAAAATAAATTCAACACGCGTGCGTACATACATCCTACCACATGGCCGCTGACTGTTACATCTCGGCAGGATCCTCCAAACCAAAGAGTACTGAAGCTCAGCGAGGCTTTCCGGGGTGAGCAAGCGTAATCAATTTAACACGTAGGCTTTCGCGACCAATGTTATTCATAATCAACGATTTTTGGGTTTAGATCGCGTTTATTTATAAATGTGTCGTAACCCTCCACCACCCGACACGGCCAATCAGTAAAAATGTGTCACGTTGACAAAGACAAATAGTTCACTGCTTTAGCCCACCGGTGTGTTGAAGCAACAACATTTACAATTTGAGTACGACGTTTCGCTGGTAATTGCAATCAGCATCATCGGGCAATTCGCCAGAATGGTGAGGCTCTCCTGTGTCTCCCGTTCTTATATAGAGCAGCAGCAGGGTGACGTCATCATTAACTCATTAACTCATCAGGTGCAAAGATTCAAGGGGGGAGTGATTGTAATTATATACTAGATTAGTAATCAGGCTATTGTTACGATGCGAGTTGTAGATTAGTAATCATTTGGAATGTGTTTTATTGTGATTATGCTACATTAGTAATCAGTTAGTGGTTGTTTCCCTTATAAGTAATTGTAATGTATCTTATTTAATAATACGCTTCCAGGCCGCACTAAGCCTATAGCTGTCTGAGCGATTAAAGTTATTTCTGTTTCTCTCAATTTCAATCGATTCTCTAATTAGTCTTTGCCAGTAGTAACTAGTTTTACACAACACTTCCACGTTGTCAAAATCAATTGAGTGTCCCTGTTGGCATGCATGTTCTGCTACTGCCGACAGTTGTGTTTGTGATAGTTTAATATTTCTCTGGTGTTCTTTTAGTCTTACACTAACGTTACGCCCTGTCTGTCCAATATAGCATCTGCCACATACACAATTAATCCGATATACACCTTCTGTTGATAATTTAGGTAAACATGTTAAAGAAGCACTAAGACAGAATGGCTACAATAATGCTCAAATTAACAGAGCACTAAAAGCCAAATCACGATCGCAAAGCAACACTGCTGAAAGCGATCAGATTATTAAAACAATAAAAATACCATTTATCTCAGGAGTGACTGATAAATTAGCCCGTGTTTTGCAAAAGCAAAACATTACAGTAAGATTTGGTACAGTACACAAAATTCAACAACTAGTAACGTGCACTAAAGACGAATTACCTAAATTATCAACAGAAGGTGTATATCGGATTAATTGTGTATGTGGCAGATGCTATATTGGACAGACAGGGCGTAACGTTAGTGTAAGACTAAAAGAACACCAGAGAAATATTAAACTATCACAAACACAACTGTCGGCAGTAGCAGAACATGCATGCCAACAGGGACACTCAATTGATTTTGACAACGTGGAAGTGTTGTGTAAAACTAGTTACTACTGGCAAAGACTAATTAGAGAATCGATTGAAATTGAGAGAAACAGAAATAACTTTAATCGCTCAGACAGCTATAGGCTTAGTGCGGCCTGGAAGCGTATTATTAAATAAGATACATTACAATTACTTATAAGGGAAACAACCACTAACTGATTACTAATGTAGCATAATCACAATAAAACACATTCCAAATGATTACTAATCTACAACTCGCATCGTAACAATAGCCTGATTACTAATCTAGTATATAATTACAATCACTCCCCCCTTGAATCTTTGCACCTGATGAGTTAATGAGTTAATGATGACGTCACCCTGCTGCTGCTCTATATAAGAACGGGAGACACAGGAGAGCCTCACCATTCTGGCGAATTGCCCGATGATGCTGATTGCAATTACCAGCGAAACGTCGTACTCAAATTGTAAATGTTGTTGCTTCAACACACCGGTGGGCTAAAGCAGTGAACTATTTGTCTTTGTCAACGTGACACATTTTTACTGATTGGCCGTGTCGGGTGGTGGAGGGTTACGACACATTTATAAATAAACGCGATCTAAACCCAAAAATCGTTGATTATGAAGCGTAATCAAACATGCGTTTTTAGAAACATGCGTTCAGAACATTTGGCCGCTATATATCTCAAAAAGAGCCACGTAGCTCAGTGGGCCTTACCTGGTAAAATAAAAAAAATAGTTTGTTATCGTTAGTTAATAATAATAATGATGGTGATGATGCGTACCTGGCGATTTTGTCACTGCAAGACATGGTGAGAAGACGCTCTCCTTGTAGCACACCATCCCACGTCTGCACAGCGCCACTCGCCCGCACGGGGATGGTCCCCTCTCCCGACTCGATCTTTGTACGCAGTTGCCCGCGGGCCTTTCTGTTGGGGTGCTTGTCACCTGCATTTTACCGAACAAAAACCATGTATATATGCACGGCTTTATGTGCTCGTGTTTGTGTAGCGGTTAGCGCGCTTGCGCTATGAACCTGAGTTCCATTCCCACTCACGGCCAACAGCGTTGACGAGTTTCTGAACTGGTCCTGGGCATCCCCTAGGTCGACTCAGCCTCAAATCAGTACCTTGTGTGGTGGATAAACATCACCACTGGGGAACTAAAGGTAAGCTGGGCATGGTGCTGGTCACCTACCCCCTCGTGTGCCGTGCCGGCCTTGATATTTGCTCACTGACAGCAATTGGCCCAACAGTCCGTTAAGGCTCTGCGGGGGATCTTTCTCTTTGTATATATATTTACTGCACTGCACATAAATCATGAACCATTTGGTAACACATCGACATTTCACGGAATGCTACACGGCAGAATTGCCATGATATCTGCAGTGCTCTTATCTACAACCCCTGTTTTTCCATGGGTTTCCGTGTGATGTGCACTTCATCCCGTTATCCACGGGTTGTAGCTCTTTGCTGTTTGCTGCAGATTTTGGAGTTTCAACGAGGATCAAGCAAAACAATAACATCCCACGCAATAAATAAATTCTGACCGAGTGTCAAGGTTTCATTCTTTTTTGAGGAGGGATTGTTTGTTTGGATGTGGAAGGGAACCAGAGGACTGGTAGAAAACTCAAAATGACATCCGAGGTTCATCTTAACAATCCATACTGATGGGTCACCAAACTGATTTATGTAACATATCCTGGCCACTTCAAAGCCAATTAATATGGGAATTGCACAGCGCATCGGCAAGAACATAATGCGTTTTCTTCTAATTCAGTTCATCCATTTGACTGAATGGAAACCAGGAGTTGCATACCAGATAAGGCAAATGGATACAACGTGAATCCTTTTACCTGCTGTTGTATCATACTGCACTAGCACAGACAGACAAACAAGTATTGGCAGAAAACAAGTAATAGATTTAAAACTCATTTTATCTGCACATTTATTATTCACAACTATATCTACCCATCCCATTGCAGATAAGAGGAAGTGGGATATATACTGTATATGTGAGCAATATTCATAATTTGTCAAACTCAGAGCTTATTGGCAAGTCATCATAGTTTGTGTGTTTGTTTTTCATTTGTTGAGGCAGATAATAAACATTCAGCCATGAGTTGTTTTACAAGAATGACCGATGCAATAGAAGATACAACAATTATAGAAGAGGCCATTAAGATGTATGTCTCAATTTGAGGACCCTACCCAGAAGATGATATGAAAATGTACATGATATAAGTAATCGGAAGCAATGTATATGAATTGGGATGATTTTTGTACGGCTGAACATCTCAAAGTTTTCGCGTGAAAAAAATAATAACGTGAACAAATAAGTGGTTTTAATGTAGCATACACATTCAACTAGTCTCTTACCTAAGTGCACGTGCATGTGAGAGACTGGAGGTAGAATGGAGATATACAATAACCCACTTGGGGGTACATTTATTTTCGTCTTCCCCCTGCCCCCCAAGTTTGAGACGATTCTGCGAGTTCCATCGTGTCATGTGACACAGAATGCATTTGCAACTATCTGAGAGCAGTGCATCAGTCCGTGTTAGAGAGCGGTTTTCGGAAAGAGATATTACAAATCTACATTTGAGATCCCTTCAAGTGACCTCTTAGGCATACTCGGGTACTAGGGGGCAGCACTTTCCCACCCACCCTGCTAGAATGTTTTTTTTTTCATCACGTGACAAACTGACATAGTTTTAACTCTCCAGGCTGGAATGTAACGAAATTAAGTGCAAAACCAAATGTGATTTTGTGCGTGTGCGCGCAGTTATCGATGGCTGGGTTGAGACAATAAGTTTGCTACACTCAAGAATCCAGTTCCATCGCGGGGGATTTACCAAATTTAAACTCAGCTCGGCACTGATCTCTGTGTCAAGCCGGTCCACCCTCCCTCATTGGGGTCATTTTTATTTACAACAACATAATAACCACACAGTGTGTTGAGAAGTTATTCGTACATACGAGAGACAGTGCCGGATTATCCTAGTAGCAAAAGTAGCTACAAATGCTACGGGCTCCGCACTTTCAAGGGCCCCGCGCTAAATGCTTTCAAGCTATCAATTCCGGTTCAGTGATTCTGCACTTGCTCTATTACTATAGTACTATACTGCCTTCAACTTTTACGAACGACTGGGTGTTTAAGGTTAGCGATCTGTCGTATTATCTGGCTGTATAGCAAATGAAAAAATACAATCACTTTATTTTGCATTTAACAAAAAATTGTATTTTAATATTTATGTTTTTTTTTTATTTAGGGCCCCTTTATAACACATGCTCCCGGCCCCGCACTCGCTTAATCCGGCACTGACGAGGGACTGCTGCCCTTCAGTGGCCACAAACAGGATTGCATGACGTCAGACCTTTTTTTTTGACAGCTTTATTCATGAAAATCCCATCAACGTAATAATGTGGTAGTAAATATTTATAATAATTGCACGAATGCAATATTATCTGCAGAGGTTAAATTACATGTACAGGCGTAAGATGTTATTCTAGAGTGTCGTGGACACATTAGCCAGGAGTTTATTTTCTTGTGGGTTTGTCCATTTGTCTCACGTGACAATGAGCATTAAATTGTAACATGAGTTTACTTCTCAAAGCTGGCAGAAGTCGCAGAATTGCTGCTTCCAATCATAGTATCTGGTGTAAGTTATGACCTAGACTAAACATTTTAAGAAGTGCAATATAAATGCATTCTTTAATGTTATTTTTGTCCTATTGCTAAAATCGACTTATTGTCCCCTTATGTGCTATCACGAGTTTCTAATACCAAGCTTTGGAAAGGATTTTTAAAAGTACTTGTTTTTCTTTTTACTTTGAAGGAGTTCTGTTTATTTTTGTATTCTCCCCTCATTCTTGTGCTAACGGTTCCAAGTTATGCAACGTAGTTTAGCTACGTTTAGACACTTTTGATATTTTTATTACTATATGACGTTCAACAGCATTAAATATAAAGTTATCTGCAAGAAGTGTACTGCCAGCACAGAGCCAAACATTGTGAGAGAAAGACCTGTCCCCAGATGCTGCTTATTGTCTCAGATAATACCCGTGCTGCGTGTCACTGTGGCTGAAGGCTTTGAATCACATCCAAAAGCCAAGAAATTAAACAGTTTAGACTCAAATCCTTGCCGACGACATGATTACCGCTTTGTGGGAAGTCAACAGCGGTCGCCCTATGGGAGAGAGACTGCCCACCGCCTTCCAAAACGTGGCATTTATACCGTGGACTCAGAGTTACCAAAGAAGATGAGTGTGGCCCCAATGCCACCTTTCTCACAAACGAAACCCAGACATGCTGTAAGTCAGCCTACGACTATCAAACCTGTGCAGTCTCCTGTAACAAAGTTCAACACAATACCGGTACCAGTTCTCGGTGCAAGTTAATTCCTGCCGCACGAACACAGATGCCCGTTGCTGGACAGGTGTCAACCCTACTGCAGACACTGACTTTGCTTACTCAATAACAACTCAACAGACTGCCAGTGGTGTGCAAGCAGAGGCCATAAACACCACGACATAATCATCATCGACTATACCTTTTAACAGAAAGCAATGATCCTATTTATCTGCCCTACTTTGAATGTAAAGTGTTAAGCCGTTCACGTAAAACATGTAAAAGCGCAGCCCTGCAAATTGCCTGCTCACGTGACTGCAGGCATATAGGCCTCCGCTAGTGGGAGCTGCAGCGAACCCTTCTAGATGGTATTTGGCCCACTCGTCCACGCTGACCAAACGTCTTGAAAGAGGTGGTCGTAGCCACACTCTACCCCACCACATGCAACCAGCCGATCGATCAACTGCATGCAAATCCATTTGTACTGCTGGGTGGACAGATGCGGGGTGGTGGGGTGGGTGTGGAAGTGATTCAAGAAACGCGCATTATTAATGTCATCTGCTGTGCAAGAATAAACAAATCAAACTAAAATTTGTTTTTAAATATTATACCAGGTAAGGCACACTGAGCCATATAGCAATTTTTCAGAAGCGATCTGGCCATCGCAAGTGATAGCTCAATCAAGTGGCTTATCGCGTGGGAATTTATAGCAGACACATACTACAAACGCACGTTTCTAAACGTGGAGGGAAAAACACGGGATGACCCGGAGAAAAATGCACGTGACCACGGGGAGAGAGACATGTAACCTCCAAATATACAGTCATAACAGGGGAGGTAGCATGGGACCTTCTTTGCCAGTACTAAAATAAATAAAGCTGTCTCTGGTGTGGACCAATCAGTTTCAAAGAGAATGCATATATTATCAGAGTTTTTTTTTGCATTCTGACCACAAGTGTTGTGGTTAATGCAGACATGATTCCTTGTAAAAGGTTTCAGTTTGGTGTTTTAACATCTTAACACGTGTTTTGTTGCCAGAAAAAAGGGGAAAACCTATTCTCAATAGGCGAGGTAGTTAACATCTCGCCACCATGGCAACCTCTAGATTGGAAGTCCAGTGTGCTGACCGTTACACCAGGGCAGCATGCCATTCGGTTGCTATGGGGATGCTGTACAAGGTCTTCTGGTACAAATGTTTCAAGGCAATTACAACAATGTCAAATTTTATATTCCCACATACGCTAGTTGTTGAGTAAGGTGACAACGCTGATACATTCTTTGTGGATGGGATGTATCAAATGGCTACGTGTGACAGTAGAGTGACATTGTGGACTGTGTAGCCACGTTTCTACAAGTAACATCCCAAGGATGAACAAGCTACAGAAATGCATCATCTAAATTCATAACAGGGTAGATATTTCATACCCTAGAATGTAGGCTTTTTTCAGAAAACATGAATGTATTAGAAACATAATCCTGCTTACATCTAAAAATCTTACCCTATATATACAGGGTGTACAGATGTCTAAAATGTACTGTATATAAAGGGTGTTTTAAAAGATAGACCCAATTTAAAAGCAGTATATTTCACGATGGAAACATGTTTCAATTACACGAAAAGTTGCAAACGGTTTAATGAGTTATCAAGTTTTACTAACCATTTTATAAATGCTCTATGTGCCCTCCACCTGCTGTGCGGACAACATCGAGGCGATAGTTTAATTCATCCCAAACGCCTCTCAAAGTGTCTTCTTCCACTAAAGTCACCGCTGCCGTGATTCTGTTTTTGAGGTCATCCAGATTAGTCGCTAATGGTAGCACAAAAACACGGTCTTTTGTGCCACCGTACTCTTTGACATTGGCGGATCAATGCCAAAACGCCGTTGAAACGCACGCTGCACCGCAATAACGGATTCAGTCTTGCTGAACTGCAGAATGCAAAAGGCCTTGTGTTGCGGGGTCACCATCTTGCGAATGACTGAGGCTAGAGGCTGTTTGTGCGCTGGGAGAGGCATCTAGTGGTAATCATTTGAAACTCTATGCCCCGCCCGTTCAAGTGGTAAGAGTTTCATTCATGGGTGGTTCGTGGTTGCAGAGATATTGCGATTTCAAATCGGGTCCATCTTTTTCAAATACCCTGTATATTCACGTGTCAAGTCAGTAGTTTCAGGATAAAATTTCTGACGGGAATCCACAGCAAGAATAAAATATTATTTGCCTATGAAATAGGAATTGGGGCCACGTAAGTGATATCCGATGCTTAAAAAACCTGAGCTCTTACCATCCATGCTGGCTTCATGGGGAGAAAAGATGCGAGCATCTCCGCAGGGTGATGTGCTGATGTAGAGGTGAAACTGGATGTCTTCCTTCAGCTTGAAGCCTCCCTGCTCCAATGCTACAAATATGGACGTCTGCTTCTCCTCTTCCTTGCTACTGTTGAAGTGAAACAAATGCATTTCACGCATGTTATACGTGCAAAAAATATATATGTACAGCAATACCCAGTGTTACATATTTGACTCGGAAAAATCACATCTGTTCATTTGATTCCTTTGTCCCTAATGTAATGTCAAATGCCACGCTTTATTTTCTAAAATATGCCACGTGTGGTGAAGCAGAGCGTATCCAGTGCATACGATGCATGCTGTGCATGGATCACGGAGCGCTGGGACTACAGTATTCTGCGAGCCTTTTTGGGCAATGAAATGTGGTGTAGGAATCAGGAGAGCAAATAGCCTCCTGGCTACCTGTGTGGAGTTTGAGTGATCTCCCTTCTCACGGAAGAGATGTTTCTGAAGGTACTGTGTTTGTTTCACATGGAGAGAGAGAAAAATACAGTAATGTGCTAGACTTTCCAACCAATACCTCCTGAAGATGAGTCACTGAAGTCAGTGAGGTGTTCCTGCATGTATAATGCAATGCAATTACTGTGGATTACAATATACACTGCAACCACCATCCAGCAGGCTGACAACACATTCCTGCGGAGGGAGCTGGTAGGAACGTTGGGTTGCTCGGTCAATGGCCAGGGTCAACGGCGGCGTGGTGTATTCCGCAAATATGCCCGACTGTGAGGGCGGGCACAAGCCGGCGTGAGTAGGTTAAACGTTGAGTTTTATAAGGGCACCACGGGGTGACCAGCCCCTCCCCACCCAGCCCCACCCCTCCCACCCCCCACCCAGCCCCACCCCCCACCCAGCCCCACCCTCCCCACCCAGTCCCCACCCTCTCCACCCAGCCGCTCCCCACCCCACCCTCCCCTCCCCACCCAGCCCCACCCTCCCAACCCAGCCCCTCCCTCCCCACCCAGCCCCTCCCTGCACGACAGACGGACACAATAATCCCCTGTGGGCTGGTGGAACCAGTGGGTTCCTACCAGTATTTGCTACACATATCTACATACAGTACAGTATACATATGTAGGGATTATTACGGGAGAAACGGCGGACAACAAACACAGGGGTGTCGGCACTCACATACACGGGTGGTCACACCGACGTCCGCATCCGTTATTGCCCACGCCCCCAGCCCTCGGAGTGATCCCTATAAAAGGTGGAGACCCAAAGAGCTCGAGGCAGTTCGACACGAAGCTGACCAGTGAAGATCCAAGACTCGGAGATTAGGCCCTAGGACTCCCCGGTCTCGCCGTCCTTATAAGGGCCGAGCCGGGTAAGCCAGCGGCGCGGCCCAAAAGCTTCCAGACCGCTGCCCTTATCAGGGCAAGGCTGGTTAGCTGGTGCCGAGATCTGTGCTTGCCAGGGCCAGATCAGTCAGCCTCCCGTAGCCCAGTAGAGGAGGACTGGGGAACAGGACAGAGGGCTTAGTACTAGGGTGGGTTTCCCATAGTACGGGTGAAAGGGGCCGATACCCCTTCAACTATTGTGCCTGTCCCTGGGTTAATAAACAGAGTGTGCCTCAACTTCGACATCGTCTCCTCGAACTTACTACATCTGGTGTCGGAAGTGGTCCAAGCATGGATACGAGACGGAAGACTCGTGCCCAAGACCCAGGAGAGGATGACGACGAGGGAGGGGCGGTGCAAGACATCACCGCCGACGTACCTGCACAACCGCTGCCGGCTCCGACATCGGCGGGGTCGTCGGAGAGGGCCGGGACGTCGACTGACGAGTTGGCGTTGGCTCACTCGCGGCTGGCGGAGCTCCTGTATGCAGCGGCCGCCATGCTGGAACAAATAACTTGCCTGGGGCCGGGAGGAGCGACGCGGCGGGAAGATGGACAACGCCCGCCAGAAACTCCCGCCTTTACAACAGAGAGGAGACTCGAAATTCCCGCCACAAAGACAGTAGGGGCAGAGGGAGGAGCCCCAGCTCGTCACGCGGGGGACGGAGCCCAGCCAGCAGCCGCCACGTCATCGGCGGAGGCGGGTCGCAGTGGCTGCCTATCAGGGGTTGCAACGTCACCACCATCGGACGCCAGCACCGACCAAGCCCCGACCAGCACGTCACTGACGGCGCGACACCCATTAGAGTCCGCCATTACTTGTACAGTACGGGGACGCGATACGGATGCTGCAAGAGGTTCGGAGACGGAGCCAACATTCCAGCAACGCCTGCCGGCCATGCAGGTATTCGTAGCAAGCGACGGCGATTGGGGGGGGTTCCAGCGCCGGTTCCTGGCCCACCAAGAAATGGCGGGCTGGTCGGACAACGAGGCGCTGTGTGCTCTCCCGGCGATGCTGGATGGCGACGCCCTGGGCACCCTCACCGCTGCACCCAAGTCGGCACGCTCCACGATTCAGTCGGCGCTGCAGCTGCTGGCCACGGTTTATGGGCCGCCTTCCGATTGTCGCCAGCTCTTCTATGAACGGCAGAAGGGCGACAAGGAATCGCCACTTGCTTATCGCACGGCCCTGCTGTCATTGGCGAAAGACGCTTTCCCGCGTATGGACGAAGAAGGGATCGATGCGATGGTGGCCGAGAAAATGTTGCTGCTGGCCGACGATTTGGACTTCATCATCCTAGCACAGGATGATGCGGATATGTCATCATTGCGGGCTGCAAGGCACATTCACGCCAATCTCATCTCCCAGCGGAGGAAGGCAAACAAGGCAGCTGCACGACACACCGTGGCGGCGACCTCTTCCGGAATGGAGGGAGCCTTCGCTGCGGATCGTTCTGCAGGATGGCGATCTGCCGAGCGACCGGCTCGGGACGTTCCGAGCCACCGAGATCAGCCCAAGTCCTCTGGAGCGCTCGTCGTCTGCTACAATTGTGGCCTCCGGGGCCACGTGGCGTCCGGATGCCGGGCTCCTCGACAGCGCGGAGCGAGACCTGGAGCTGCGGACGGCCCTCCCCACAAGCCTTCGCAACATCCTCGGGCAAGTCATGGCACCCCACATGTTCGGCCTGCACACACACCCACTTTCCTCTCACAAGGTCCGACACACGATTCTCGGGGTTTGGGTGCTGGTGCGTCGGGTCGCGGCATGTCGGGGAGGGCGCTCCAACCGGGCCAATGGTCCGAGTTGGCTCACCGGGTCGTGGCTGCATCGGCGGGGTCGTCCGTTGTCATGGGGCATATTGACGGGGTGTCACGGGGCATATTGACGGGGTGGAGGTACGGGTACTGGTCGATAAGGGAGCTTCGGCAACTATCATTTCGGATTTGATTTATAATATCCTGCCCGTTCAGAGTCGCCCGTTGCTCCCTGTCGACATACCGTTTTACGCTGCAAATGGGGGCTCGTTGGGTATTATCGGCCAAATTCGAGCGCAAATTTCTATCGGGGACATTAAACTATCTGGCCCGGTGTTCGTCTCCTCCTCGCTGGCTATTCCGTGCCTGTTGGGGACGGACTTTTTGGCCAAATTGCCCATCAAAATTCTGATTGACCAGCGATGCATCGAGCTTCCATCGGGCCGACGTATTACGTTCCTGCCTTCCACCCCTGCCTTGCATACTGCCTGTGCTACGGTACAGGCGCTCGTTGCTCGGACGGTGCGTGTACCCCCGGGGGCACAGATGCTAGTACCCCTGCGGTTGCGTCGACCGTTCGATAAAGGGGTCTCTGACCGGGGCATTATGTTGGGACCATCTAGAGCCGGGGTGAGTGGGCCAGATCTGGTGACGGCCCAGACTATTGTTAAAGGGGATGGGGACCCGTTTATCGCGGTCCTCAATGTCGGGACACGGACGGCGGTGGTTTCGCAGGGTACCGTGTTCACACATGCGGTTCCGGTACCTGCGGAAACGCCGATCATTGGCCAGGTGGCAACCGATTCTCAAACGCGATTAGCCTCAGACACTGACGAGGGTTGGCTGGAAGCGTTGTGTGCTGAGTCACCTGACTTGTCCGACGCACAACGTGCTAAATTACGCGCCTTATTGCGAGAATTTTCCGACGTCTTCAGTAAACATAAATACGATATCGGATGTACCAAATTACTACGCCACCATATTGACACCGGTGACAACGCTCCTATCCGCCAAAATCCTTTTTGGTTAAGTCCCGCCGAAAAGGATCATGTCAAATCGGCTGTAGATGACATGTTGAAATCTGACATCATTTCTCCCTCGACCAGCCCTTGGGGTGCACCCATAGTGTTGGTTAAAAAGCACGACGGGTCCCTAAGGTTCTGTGTCGATTTCCGGCGATTAAATAAGATCTCGGTGGCCGATGCTTATCCGCTTCCTCGAATGGACGATTCGCTGGATGCCCTCGCGGGATCGCGATTCTTCTCCACTTTGGATTTGCTCTCAGGATTTTGGCAACTTCCCTTGGACGACGAATCTAAGCCCAAAACAGCTTTCCGAACGCCGCACGGCCTCTTCCAATTCAATCGCTTACCCATGGGATTACACTCTGCTCCCGCGACGTTCCAGCGCCTGATGGAATTGGTCCTCGCTGGCTTGCAATGGGAGGTGTGTTTGATTTACCTGGATGACGTTATCGTATTCAGTAAGACGTTCGAGGAACATCTTGATAGGCTTCGGGCCGTCTTTCTCAAGATGCGCGCTGCTAATTTGAAATTCAAGCCACAAAAGTGCCATTTGCTGCGCGAATCTGTTAAATATTTGGGTCACATCGTCGGCCGGTCAGGCATCTCAACCGATCCCGCCAAAACGCGTTGTGTCAGCTCCTGGCCTACTCCCACCTCGGTGGGGGAGGTTAGAAGCTTCATCGGATTTGCTTCATATTACCGCCGGTTTGTCGCGGACTTTGCTTCCATCGCTAAGCCACTACATGCCTTAACGTCAAAAGGGGTCAAATTTCATTGGGGGCCGGAGGAGGACGCCGCTTTTATCTCTCTTCGGGATGCCCTGGTGGGGGCCCCGCCGTTAAGCTACCCCGATTTTTCCATGCCCTTCGTGCTCGACACGGACGCAAGCAATACCGGGATTGGAGGCGTGCTGTCACAAATTGTGGGTGGCGTGGAGCACGTTGTGGCTTATGGTAGTAGAGTATTGTC